AAGATACGATATAAAACCACGGCGGTAGGTACAAGGCAAGAGATCGGAATATAAACGGCAGAATTTGTGTCCAGTTCAAAATCGAGAATCATCCCCAATTCCCTTCAGGTTTCTCGAACGAAGGTTACGGGAGGTATACACTTACTATCAATTCGAAATATATTGACCTGTTTCTTTCAAAGAAAACTGTAGCTTTTTGTTGATGTAGTTGTGGTACTTTTCCACTACTAATCCCAGAACATATGCAAAATATTTTAATACATATTCCTTACCACTCCCATTCGCCACAGCTGTTGTTTATCGCCCTTATCATACAAGATAAAAAGTACTGAAATTATCGCTCATATGATGAGTTTCAGGGATCATACAGATTAGACATTTCAATTTGCAAATTACATTTGATTTACGACTTATAGGTCTTGTTTATCGTATACACTTTTAGTGTATACAAATCTTTTTGTGCAAATAGCGTGTGATTACCCACATACCAGATAGATCATTACCGTAGCAAAGCAGGATCAGTGGTGGAGTCGCACAGTTTATGCATTTTCAACGAGGGTTGTGAAGTTCTCTAACGCTGCTCTGACCCCTTGTTGCGGTCCCGTAATGCGCATATTACTGAACATTGCTCTATTTTGAACAAGAGCACCCCATTCACGGGGCATACCCTACAGCTCAGAAATCCACACTGCTGATGAGCGCATTTTATGTTTCCGGATTAAACCACTTGTTTATCGTAGCCTACAGGATGCCTCAGAGAATTCATCACACTCTTATCTCATTTTGTGAATGACAGAAATAAAGTGATAAAGACGTGTAAGTCATTTGGATGGTATTTTCTGAGTCGTTTAATAAACGACAACTACGAGTGGCTCCGCGCTCTAGATACTATTATCAAAAGTACGTAATTAACTAGCAAATGATAGAATCAGTGATAAAACCATTGCTAACATATACTCCGTGTAGAGAACCCAAACTCAGTTTTCAGTAATTGTAATATCACGTCTCTTGTAATAGATCAATCTTTTATTGTACAGAGTACTCTATTTGAACGAAATCCAAGTATTGTACGTGAACTCCTTCACGCACAACAACGAAAACAATATACATATTAAATTCTTGTAGCCGTATTCTGTTGTTCCGGTCTGATACAATGCTTTAAATAGGAACGCAGGCAATTTCAGATGTTTTATCTCCCCATAAGCACTCATAAAAGGCAAGTACTTCCTGTGTCCCGAAACGTCCGTATCAGTAGGTGTCCTGCACTTCCTTGTCAGGATAACCGTTACTACGTGCTCCATGAACAGTAACAAACATTTTAGATGCGAAGTAATGCTAAAATAATGAACGCAGATTCTGTTCGTGAATATAACATTTTTGCACCTGTACAGTTTCTGCGCATCTGGCATGAGCAGCGGCCCAGTAACCACGATAAACTCGAATTTAATGTCACCTTTGTAATGCAAGTTATCGAAGTGTAGGCTACAATTTATATCACCAACGCCGTGCGTGAGCGGTAAATTCTCTCCCACGTGTAAATCGTGTTCTTCTAAATAACAGATGTTATGATTTAATTCCCTCATAGAGAGCTACTAACCGAGTTCGAAATCGATTGTCTGAAATACCGAATGCTGCGAAATTAAAGCTGGTAGAACTAAGCGCCTTTAAGGTTTCAAGAAACTAGAAACCAAAGTGTTATGTGCTTAAAAGACACGTAGACTGTGTTGAAATGTACTTACTGAATAAATAATACCAGTTGTGTAAACTGTGTCCTGATTAAAATTTTCAAATATTCATCTGAATTGAATTACACAGTTAATATCCTTTAACGTACACTATTTATTTATCAATAATAAATACGTATCGCTGTTTACTATACAATTTAATTATAATCTGCACAGACTTTTCATCCAGGTTTTAAGCATTATGTTTTTAAATAAATCTGCTAGTGGATTAGACGTAAGAGTTACGTATACTTGCTTTGAATTTCGCGATTAATTGAATTCTCAAACCCAAGTACGTATATTAGAAAGGAAGATTTTATGAACTTTATAACAACAAAAAACAGCAAATAGGCCAAGTATGCACAATAAATTCATTGACTTTATGCTTAACACGGGATACAACGCAGTTTCTCAGATATCTCGAGAAAGTAATTTGTTCTAAATCTCAAAGACATTTTATAAATACATAAGTTTATAAAACGTATTACCTTACAAAAGCTTGGTATTTAGAACTAAGTAGTTTCATATTTTCGCTCTTCATTCTCTCCCAAATTAGTTTTTAATTATTTAGATTTCTTTTTAAATGGCTGTTGTACGCATATTATACAGCAATTACTTTAGCTTTGTGTGTTTAAAGTGATGCTAATACGTTTAGAGGAGAGCGGGGGTAAGCTGAGGCTAATAAAGTTTTATATTCCCTGTAAGTGGACAACGTTATATGTAGTACACTTTGGAACAGCTGTCGTGTGTTAACATACGCATGAATCGTGATTTATAACCCCTACAAATTACTGCATATTAAAGGTAGTTTGGAAGTGAACGCTTCGTAGAATTTACCACCATCAACTTACTTCCCTAAAACGGTATATAATTATTTTTGAATATGTTATAATACATGTATATATACAAAATATTTATATGATGCGACTTAAAAAAACTTTTCATGTTATGCTTGTGCATACTTATATTAGTTGTAGCTTTCGAATAATGTTGTATTACTCAAAAGATAGAAAAGAACGAAAATTTATATCCACGAACAAGGGGGATAAACAATAATAATTTTTAATAATACTGTGATCACACACCTGGGTTGCGGAAACTCAAAAAGAGACTCAGCCAATACACGCTTCTTACAAATTTTTAGCCAACGGTTATGACGGGCTATGTTTTCGGAACCGACATGTTCACTTTCTTCCCTACAATGTACACAGGCGTTCTACGCTAACCCCATGATGTCCGGCCACACAGAGAGCTACCGCACTGCTCAGCCAACCTCCCGTCCGGTAATGCTTCCAAATTACATCGGTCTATGTGGGATCGTATATCAAGCAGAATACCAGCACTGCTTCTCCATGTACATTGTAGTGTGGGTGGAGTCTGCTGGGGAAAGTTCTGTCCTAACCCTGAAGGCACTTGCTTGGATCATGCAATATTTCCCAACGTTAATAAAGGTTGGTACAAAGACAAGAGACAGAAAGAGAAAAAAACACGAAGAGGGAAGAATGAGAGACAGGAAGATGTATGGAAGAAGGAGGACGATGAGAAGGGAAAAGCAGGCACAGAAAATAGGTCAAAGAGAGGATAAAACAAACACAGGGAAATATAATACAGTCTCGTCCCTATGATGGGGATTAAGATAACTAAAAATGAGTACACAAGTTGATACACTGTGATTAATGGAGTGCACGTTAAATGATTTTCTGACATGTATCACGAGGCCAAAATGTGGCAAAGCACTGAACATATAATCCTTACAGAGTTGTGTAAAGTTCGAGGCTCTTGGTGGCACTTACATGCGACATTCAGACGTCTTCGGTCTTCCAGCATTCCCCCGAGGAAGTGTTTGTTCTCCGCACGGCAAGCTATCTCCTTGCCATCGTCCCCCGCGCGGGGCCTGAGTAACAGGACGCTGGTCGTCTTGTTCGGAGTCTCTGTCACCTAGGGACAAAAGCATCATGCATTTAGGTGACATCATTAGTGAGAGCGCACGAGACTGCATGAAACTCTATCATGGTCTGTTGTTAAAGAGATCTGTCACAAGATAATTAGAAGAAAGTATCATTTCGTAAGTCAGATAAGTTACACAAAAATGTCTAACAAGAAATGTTCAATAGGTGAGAGGTTTATGTGTTAATTTCCACAGAAGTCATAAATATTTGCATTTAAATGGTATTATAAATTTCAAATCTAACGATTTTAACATGTCTCTTTAATTGCATTTGTGTTACGAATTTAAGAATTTTAGATTATTCAGTTGTGAAAATCTACGAATAAGTGTTTTGAAGACTGTCGTAACGTTCGAAACCTGCAGTTATAACATTTAATAAAATAATAATCAAAATGACTGAGTAAGGTACGAGAAGACCTTATTAAAACGTTATGAAAACATTTCTGAAAACGTTCATTGAACTGGTTCAGAATTACGTCCAATCGAGAGTTGTACAACTAGAAGTGCTAAGCCTCGTGGTACAATTGCAGAGTGTTGTATAGCAGTGGTATTCAACCTGAGGTACGCGAAGACATCTTAGAAGGTACGTGAAATTTAAAAGAAATATATATATTATTTTATGATAAACACAGAATAATCAGTAATGTAATTTATTTAATTTATTTTAGACGTAGATTATATACTATGTATAACTTGAATTATACACCAACAACTTTGGGGGTACAAAGTTGAAGAGAAATTATATCTGGGGGTACGCGAACAAAAAAGGTCGAATACCACTGTTGTATAGTATTGTATTGTACAACAGAATAGAAAGAGATTAGATACTTCGACATTTCGGCTTCAAACTCGACGTTACTAGGCCAATCCCTACAGAAAAGCGAACGATGATAATGTAAGGCACTATTCCAGAGTATTACCTGGAATGATTAAGGAAACTCTTGGTAATATTTCTGTAACGTCTGGAAGCCTCTGGAATCAGGATTTAACTCCATAGAAACGTCGATACTTGAGACCCAATGTCGTCTGTTTTATGTTGGAACGGGAAAGGGTACGTACTGAGGTGGGGGCGTTCTTGAGGAGCTCGCCGTCCAGCAGCCAGCTGACACGAGCTGGCGGCACGGAACCCGTGGTTTCGCAATGCAGCTGCTGCGTCTTCCCCGCAGAGAGTGGCGCGGCCGGCGATGTGATTTCGACGGTGCGGGGCTTCACTGCAACAGACGGATGCTGCATGATAACGAGCATGGTACAGTCCAAGCAAGGAGCAAACGAACTGCAACGAGATACCTGCGTCACAGCACTGACAGCAATAGATCCCAGGGCGAACAGTGGGCTGGTTATCTGATATTATGATATATTTGTGGCTTTTAGAGACAGGTCACTTGGAAAAGTTGTGTACTAGGACCAGGACTATTTTCTTGAAATGTAGTTCTTCAAAGTCATCCCTGGTATCACGGGAATATGAAATACTTTAGTAGTAGATCCATTTCGAATAGGGGATGATGTTCTGAGGTCATGAGGTTTAATAAATTTATTCAAGAGATCTTACCTTCATAATTCATTCACAACTCCTTCATGTTTATGGGAGTCTACTTCTAATTCCAATCGCTAAATGATTCGCTGAAAGAACCAATCCCTCCGAACTATAATCGAATGAGTACAGTGAAGACTACAAAATGAGTCTGGTGACCACATGTCCCTTTCCAACCTCACCCTCCATAATGACTGTAAATCAACATTGTACAACATAACAAGTAATGCAGACGCCCAGCTTCTCTAAGATACCAATAGATGTAGTTGAAATCACGACGGAAGATTGACGTTGCGATGACAACTGCGTCGGCTGGTCAAGTTATCGCACAATTTATGGTCGTTAATAATTATGATACATTGGTGAGTTGGTTACTGTAACGGAGAACTGAAGTATCTTCCGAGATGCATCTGCTCCACGCCGCACTATAAATTCTATATGAACTGCGCCGGGACTGAAACAAGTTCTGAGGCGTGAGAAATCGATATCAAACTGCGGAACTCCAAAATATACTACAACGAACGAAATGTGTTCGAGTGAAATGACACACACACTTCTTTCTATTAAAATCACCCCCCACTGAAAGCAATTCTTCGCAATGGGACCATTTCTATAAAGCTCAGTCCTCTTTAAGCTGCATACTTCTTTTCTGTTGGTTAAAAATTACCAGTCTTTAGAGGAAACCGATGCGATGGTTCATGACAGTAAAAGTAAAGTAAAGTTTGTCCCACTATACGCCATGTAGGCGTTTGGGGTGAGTGGAGGTATAGCTCCTCTCTTCCTTGACCTCGGCACTAGATGGGGGTGA